ACACCTGCATTCCTCCAGCCCTTTGCCTGTGCCGCTCCCTCAGCCTAGAGTGCCCTTTCCAGCTGGCCATCTGCTACCACAGATCGTCATTCTGCCCTTCCCTCAAGGCACCTCCTCCAGGAAGCCTTCCCCTTTCTCAGCCTGGCACACCTGTCTCCGCACCCCTCCTCTCTTTCTCCCCTCCTCATGGTGAGACACAGATCCACAATGAAGGAAAATGAGCTCCCTGAAGAAAAAAAGCACATTCTCTTTCTCCCCAGAGTACCCAGCCCTTTTTCTGCCTCATGGTTGAGGTTCAGGCCATCCCTGACAACCAAGCTCAGTCATGTCAAAAGCACACACCAACCCCTTCGCAGGAACAGGATGCCCGCAGAAGGCAATCCTAGTTGGCCCACCAGCCTGGAGAAGTGCCACCATTGAGAGGGCAAAGTGGCTGATGAGAGCAGGAGGCATTTCTGGTGGCTTTCTCTGTTAGACAAGGGACAGACCTTCTCCCGGTTTAACCCCCCGTGACCTTTGAACTTCCTGGGAGGTCAGCAGTGCGTCCCCTTCCCCAGCTGTCTCTCTGTCTCTGGCCCAATGGGAGGGAGGGCCCTGGTCCGTTCCATTTTGCACCCGTATTGATCTGTTGGCAGCAATGGGCTGGATAATTAGCCAGGAATTAGGGTTTCTATTACAGCCAGGAGGCTGCTCCAGCTGATTTATCACCTGAATAATTTACTGTGATTGAAAGGAAATTAAAATGAACTCCATTTGACAACTGTGAGCTTTTATGGGCTTTAGTGAAGGCTCAAAAGCCAGATTAATAGCCTGGTGTTGGTTAATAGTCTGCCGAGAGTAAATACGGCAGGCTGTGCTCCGCAGCCTTCCTGTGGCGGCCGGAGGAGGGACCCACTCCCACCAGGAGCGCTGCTCCAATGACAGCATCAACGGGAGTTTTGCTGAAACAGATGCCACTGTTGGAAACACACACACACACACATATACGCACACATATGCACACATACATGCACCCACACACTCATCCCCAGCAGTTTTTTTCCTTCTCTTCCTTCCAGGTGATTTTTACTCACTCCACATGTAGGGAATACAGAATTGCTTTTTCAATAACCGTTTTGAAAAGGAAGTGTTTCATTGCCCCAGGAGCAGTCAACGTTAACCCCTTCCACCCAGGGCAAAGGGTTTACTAAGTTTCCCTATAAAAGCCAGAAGCCTGGGCAGCCCACCCAGGTAGATCTTGGTGGGAAAAGCTGCAGAGTGGGGCAGGCTCTGATCTAACAGCAGTGTCTGCCAGAACCCCCGCCTGGCCCCAATGAGGAATGTTCCTCCCATGAGGGACAGGTGGGGGATCTGGGAGGATGTGGCCTCTCCAAGACTATGGCAAGCTTCTGAGAGTTCTGGAATGACAGGCAGACTCTGGCTGCAAAAGGCCAGATCTGATAACCAACCAGACAGAAAACTGGTCCCTGGAATTGTCCAGACCTAGAGGCCCATGGAACCATCTTGCACAAGATGAAGCCAGAAGACCTTGAGATCAGATTCCAGCTCTGTGGTTCAACAATATTTTGGAAACTCTCTGAGTAAACAATCTGGGAAGAAAAATATTCCAATCTATAAAATGGGGCTCACAAATCATGCCCAGCCTGTTTGGCAGGCATCTACACTGGGGGTCCAGTGAGAAGACGGATGTGAGTGGTCTTTGTAAACTGAGTGCTATGGTGCACAGGTGAGGAGGATCGTGATTGCCACGTTCAGTTTCAGCTGCTGCTGCTGTTCTTGTTGTCATCATCAAAATCATGATTACTCCTACCACAGATATGGAAACTGAGGTCCAGAAAAAAAGTGACTTGCTCAGCAGGGTGGTGCCAGGACTCAAATCAAGCTTCCTGACCCCAAGGCCAGTAAATGCTCTTTCTTCCCCACCAAGCTACTCAACGAAAGTGACAGCAAGGCCCCCATCCATGCCACTAGACCACAGAGACACAAACTCAGACAGCACAATCTGCTCGAAAATGGAAGAGGCAGCCAGCCTCCGTGGCCAGCACCGCAGGCCCCCTTCCTGTTACCACTGCCATGCCACGCTGGGACTCACAGGCAGGGCCTGTGGAACCTTCACCTCTCAGAGAGCTAGCATGAGGAGCTCAAGGAAGCTGTACCCTTGATGCACATCCCTTCCCAGCCTGCGGCGCCTTGCTCGGTCATGATTTGTTCAAAGTGATTGGGAATCGGGCGTGAGGGTATGTCATTCATAGTCCAGTGCCTGTGTGTGTACCAGGCAGCCCCACCGCCTCACCTTCCATCTCTCCTCATTAAGGCACATTACAGGGAGGTGAAGCAGATTAACCAGAAAACACTGGGTCAGTCATTATCCCGCCATGCAGTTCACCTGCAGGCCCTATCTCAGAGCGCACACAGTCAGAGACAGGCCTGCAGATGTGCCTGCTCATTCTGAAGGACACTGCTAGATGCTGAGTCCTCGAAGAGTTTGTAATCAGGTCTCCTCCCCATCAGACCTCATCTCTCCATGAGCCCATGGGACCTGTCCTCAAGACCCCCATCCAACACTGCTCACTCTGCCATCATCCTTGATGCTCCCAGCCCAGGTAATGTCCCCCTCACTGGCTGACGCCTCATCAGGACCCTCTGAATGGTCTCTCTTGTCCTATGGGCTTTGAGTCCACAGCACACTGCCCCTGCATGACTGGGCAGAGCTGATGAGCGCCTGGCACTGTGCCTGGCTCCCAGCCTGTGTTCAGGGAAGATGTTGGGTGAGTGGCATGTGAGTGAGTAAGAGAGTGAGTCCATGGGCGGCTTCCATACCACTGGGGGATGAAGCCCTGCAGGCTGCATGGTCTTCCTGGGCATTCGAAGCTACAGGAGCCATGGTGCAGATTCTGAGTCTCCATGAGAGTCATGAGAAACACAGAGGGAGTCTTACACTGAGTGTCTGTGTTGATAAGGGGTTCATAGAAACACTTATGCTGCAGAGGCCAGGTGGAGTGCAGGAAACTTGCCTCTGTGGTTCCTGCCAGCCCTAAAATTATATGATCTCTTACGTCAGCAGTTAGAAGATAAACTTTCTTCCACTTTCTGGAGGGAAAAACAGGCTCATCCAGGAAGGTTTCTCAATCAAGTCCACTCTCACTTTCCTCCCATGTCAGAGAAAATGTGCCTTCTGCCCTCTCTCAGAAGGGTTCTGAGCAGAGGGGAGATGGTGCTTGTGATGGAAACAGCCTCTCCTCTCTGAAGCCCAGGACCTACAGTGTGTGGGGTCGGCTGTGTCCAGCACCATAACCGTGTCCTACCCAGCAGAGGCATCACTCGGCTTGTAGGAGAAAGTCTAAAATCCTCGTCCAAGTCTACAAGACCAGGCCCACCTCCCCAGCATCATTCCCTCATCTGCTCCATCCTTGAGCCACAGCCACACCAACTCTCTCCGTTCCTCATTTCTGCCACCTCCCTCTCAACTCAGGGCCTTTGCACTTGCTGTCCCCTCTGCCAGGCACCTTCCCTCCACCCCCACACCCCTTCTCCTTGCTACACCCAACCCCTTCAGGCTCAGCTTAAATACCTTTCCCCCAGGAGGACCCTGAGCCTGGCTCAGTCTTTCCTTTAGGCTCTCAGAGAACCTCAGACACCTCCTCCTCAGCACCAAGCACACCTGTAATCCATGACTCTCTAGCTAACTCTTTCATTGGGGTTCTTCCACAAGTCTGTAGGCTCCCGGAGGGCAGGTCCAAGCCCGTCTTGTTCACTAATGTGACCCGGTGCATGGCTCCATGCCTTGCACAAAGTAGACACTCGTCATATTTGTTAAGTGAATGCATGACTTGCAGGGTGGCCTTAGGCAAGTCGCTTTGCCTCGGGACCTCGATTTTACCACCTGAAAACAAAGTGGCTAGAAGGTCTGTAAGAGCTCTCATAGAAACTGCTCAGACACAGACAGTCACAGACTGGTGGCCCCAGAGGCCCTGCTCTCTCCTCACCACCCAAGGTTCTCTCCAGCACCTCACCTCTCCGTGGGAGCTGTGCAGGGAGCCTACACTATTTGGAATGACTTTTTGGAGAAAATTCAGAAGTATCCTCTAATTAGCATTTAGAGGAAGCTCATGCAGCCAGTTCTCACCACTGGTACCAGCGAGAAACGTGCTGGGGAAAGTTACTGTCTGTAGGGTCTCCCTGGTTGGCCCGCCAAGTGGGAGCTCTTGGCAATCCAGAGCCATGTCTAGCCTGCAAGGTTGCCTGCCAAGGCCCTGGCACACACTGGGTATCAGGAAATAGTCTTATGAATTGAATCTGTTACTTCAGGGGCCTTAGACCTCAAGAGCCTGTCACTGGGCCAAGTCTCGTGATCCCACCTCTATAGCCACAGGCAGTGACTACTCCGCCCAGGGTACAGCACACGGCCAGTCAGCCAGGGCTGACCCTCCCACTCTCTCCCCTCACCTGCAAATAGCCCAGGTGGGAGTTTGTGCAATGAGATATTTCTTCATCTCCAGACTTTTGGATTCAGTCACTAAAAGCATGACAGGGTGACCTGGTAAGAGGGCAGACGGTGGGATACCCACCCACTCCTTCATTCCATTGTTCAGCTCCCCAGGACACGTGCGGGTTACATATTTCCACCATCACCCTGATTGACAAGATAATGACCCAAGACCACCTCAAGTGGCCCAGAAGATCATTACACCCCTCTGTCCAAAGAGCCCTTGGAAAGGACACCAGAGCAGCCAGAGAAGTCACCCACGCCCTGGCTGGCCAGCAACAGAAACACCAGGGCAAGAAGCCACTGGAGCCCAGACAAGCCTTCCCGACCTCATGGGATGTAGTGACTGCCTAAGTTTGGCCAAGAACACTGAAGAGCCCTCTCTGAGCAGAACCTGCTACGCCCTCACCAACACCCTGCCAGATGCCCCTGCCTTCAGGAGAGTGGCTGGGCCGGTGTGGCGGTGGCCAGCATGGCCGTGGCAAGTGTGGCAGGCGTGCATTGCAGGGCGTACCTGCTCGGGCTTGATGGGCTCCGTGGTGGTGAAGATGTCCGAGTAGTGCTGCCTCTCAAACACGCGGTCCAGCACCTCCAGCTGCTGCTGTGTGAACAAGTCTCCCCGCATCTGCTTCCGGAGGAAATCTCTGCCTGGAAGTGAGTGGCCGTTTGGCACTGGAGACTCCTGAATACCTTTGATGAGCAGGAGAGAGGAAGGGTGAGTGGAGGTTATACACGTTGCTAAAGAAAGACAGGTCAGACCCTGAGACTACAAAGAGGACCTGACCCCAACTCCCTCCCTGACCAGAGGAGACATGGGCAGGGGCTCAGGTAAGGGACTGCCTTGCCCTAGATCACCTGCTGGTAAGTGCAGAGCCAGCCTCCTGCAGCTGTGTGCCAAGGACTGTGCAAAGCCCCTCCCCTTTTTTTTTGAGATGGAGTTTTGCTCTTGTAGCCCAGGCTGGAGTGCAATGGCATGATCTTGGCTCATGGCAACCTCTGCCTCCCAGGTTCAAGCGATTCTCCTGCCTCAGCCTCCCAAGTAGCTGGGATTACAGGCATGTACCACCATGCCCAGTTAATTTTGTATTTTTAGTAGAGACAGGGTTTCTCCATGTTGGACAGGTTGGTCTTGAACTCCTGACCTCAGATCATCCACCCGCCTTGGCCTCCCAAAGTGCTGGAATTACAGGCGTGAGGCACTGCACCCGGCTGACAAAGCCATTTCGACATGCATCGTCTCATCTAATCCTCATAATGACCCTCAATGTAGGTTATTTTCCCCACTCTGCAGATGAGAAGATTGAGACCTAAAGAGATTTATTGATTTTCCTGAGGATTCAAGCTTGGGCTGACCCACAGGCTTAGTCATCAGGTGCTCCTGCCCCTCCTGTCCTAAAGATCCTCCTGGAAGGTACCATTTCCCCAGAGCTGATGTTTTTACCCTGGACATTTGCCATTCATAAGACTATTTCCTGATACCCAGCGTGTGCCAGGGCCTTGACAGATTGTAGGAAACAGTACTCTCATACAATTCTGGCGGAAGTGGTAACACACCTGTGCTGGACAAGTCGGCAAATCTATCAAAACCACAAATGCACATTCCCTTCGATATAGCAATTGCACTTCCGGAAATTTATTTTACAGCTCAACTTACACATATGAGAAGTGATGTAGGTTCAAGGTTCTTGTAGCAAAAGACTGGAAACAACCCAAGAGTTTATTTGTGGGGGGTTGGTTAACTAAGCCAGGCATACTTGCATAACAGAAAACTGCAGCAGCACAAAGGAATGAGCTTCCTTCTGTGAACTGACAGGAAAAGGTCTTCAAGATATACTATTATGCAAGAAGTAAAAAACAAGGTACAACACAGCATGTAAAACATGCAACCTTTTGTGTAAAAAAGGAAGAAAATAAGACGATGTGCAGTATGTATCTCTCCAATACATGAGGAGCATTTATCGTGGTCACTCATTCAGGGAGGTAGGAAGTGAGTGAGTTGAGGTGAGTGGGGAGAGACTTTCCATGGCATGCTTTTCTTTGGTTTGGTTTCAGAAGTTTCAATGTGCTGCCTATTCCAAACGTGAATAAGTAAGTGTAAGGTTAAATCCCCTCTGTGTTCTGTGTTGTTCGCTGTTCACGCTGTGACTGCCTCTGCTGATGACACTTACGTGTCAAAGGAAACATGAGTCATCAATAAAGAAACAAATGGATGAACTGTCCTCTGTGAGTCTCAAGCTTGAACTGTTAAAAAAAAATCAAGCATGGAGGGCAAACAGTTTCTACCGAGAAAATGGCCTCCGGGGGGTACATCATCGGCCAGTGCTCTCTGGGACCACATTGCTCTCACAAGGCTGACCAGAGGCACTCTTGAAACCCAGGCCCAGAGGTGGGGCATCTGCCTTTGCAGTTGGAAAGCCCTGGGGAAACCAGCGTGGATCTGCTCTCATGCTAAAAGGTGCCCTTACTAAGGCCTTGTCTGACCCCTGCCACCACAGCACACCGCGGCCCTGGACTAGACTTCATCTGTCATGTCAAGCACCCACCCATGTGAGGAGTGAGGCCAGACTAAGGATGTGGCGTCACCAAGACTCAGCCAAAAGTCACTGCTTCCTCAACTGTACTTATCTGGGGACAACTGCAGCACAGTGGCTGACGTTGGAATAAAGATAGCAGCTTTGAGTGTTGGCCCTTCAGACCCTGGGTGGGAGCCAACAGGCTCAGAGGATCCAGCATACTCTATAGGACAGGCCTCCAGAAGCAGCTCATGAGCCCTCTGAGAAAACGGATCCCCCACCAATTTTGACCCAAGAGGATACTATAGGCTGGGCCACAGCCTGAGTGACCAAAATCCCCCACATTCAGGCCAAGGCAAAAGTTGGTCTCTCTGACCAACATTCCCCAGCCTGAACATTCCCCAATGTGCTCCTCCTCTGGCAGTCTGTGACCCTGGCCTTCCACAAGACAGGTGCCTGGTCCTGCCGACAGGACATTATCCTAGAGACCCTTCTCCCATCATGTCCCATCCCCCTGGGGACCATTCCCACAAGGTCACCAGGCCTAGCAGGTATGAGAGCTCACCGCCTAGTCTGTCTGCCCAGCAGTGTTCTTCCATTGGTCAGCACCCACCGAATGACCTTTTCTCAAATGTTCTATGCCCACACACGCACATGCACACCCACACACATACACCAGGAAAGACGGCTCAGTTTTTCCCTACTCAGCTGTTGCTCTACCAGTCATCCTGGTCCCAGCCACTCCTGCTAAAGCGTGATGTTGGCCTTGGTCACCAGTCCACTGCCAAGTTCCTCCCTGTCAGAAGGGACACATCCACTTTCAAAGGACTTCTCCCTCCACCAGCTTCAATTATACTTCCCAGCCCTGATCCCGCCAGCCAGGCCCGAAACTCAGTGATGCCACCTTCCTGTCAGCCACCTCCTAAGGACTCCCGCCGAGGCCTCACTCTGTCCACAGCCAGGCAGTGCCCGGCTCCTCCCGCCCACCCAGAATGCTCCATCAGACCCCCTCAACTCTGCCCCTCTAGGGGGCCTCTCCCTGCCAGCCAGGCCATCCTCCCAGAGACCTCCTCAGGCTTGATCCCTCTCCCACGGGACTCATGGGCCAGGCTCTTTCCACGGCTCAGAGACCAAAGCTCAGAGAGGGTGGCTTGACTGAGGGCCGCTGTGGGCAAGGTCACTGTCTGATTACCCAGTAGAGCCCAGCACAGAGTAAAGGCTCAGGGCACACAGGCCCTCAAGGGTACACACAGGGTGTGTTGGGAGACCCTCTTCCTGAGGACACCACACAGACTCTAAGCACAGGCAGCCTTGCTGGACCCACGCCCCTCTCTACAAAGTCTCCCCGGAAGTGGAATGGCGGCATCCAGCTCTGGTTCTTTGAGAGTCAGCCACAGTCCCTGTCAGCTGAGCCTGTAAGGATATCCAGGCTGCCAGGTGCAGTGGCTCGTGCCTGTAATTCCAGCACCTGGGAGGCCGAGGCAGGTGGACTGCCCTCGGCAGGCTGTGAGCTGGGCACAGCCCACCTCCCGGGCATTCACCCTGACCCATGACTGCCCTCGCCCCAGCAGCACCTTGCTTGCTTTCTTTACCAGGGAAATAAAGACAACAGTGTCTGTCATTTCCTTAAGAAGGCTTCAGACACTTCAAAACACATAATCAGTTATTCACTGGTTTAACAAATTTTGATAAAATATTTACTCTGTACCAGGTAATATTTTTTAAGTAAATACATTTTAAAAATAGACAAAAACCGGGATATAGTGCTGACCAAGACAAGCCTTTCTCTCTACAGTCTAGAGAGGGCAGCCCACTTAAGAAGTCACACGAGTAAACATAGGATTACAAACTGTGACTGATGCTAAGGAGAAAAGAGAGCATAAAAATATATCCATGTGACCAAGTAGAATGGGGAGGGGAGCAGCCTGGTGTGGGAGGAGTCAGGAGTCAGGGAAGTCTCCAAGAGGAACTGCCAGGAAAGTGAGGAGTGAGCAGGGAGAGGGGGCAGAGAGGGTGCCAGACAGAGGGGACACCTGCATACAAAGACCCTGAGAGAAGGGGATGAAAGGAATGGAGGGAGAGAGGAAAGAGGCCCCAGGAGAATCTGGAGAGGCTGGGAAGGATCCAGCCAGACAACCCCGGAGGCCAGAGAGAGGATCTGAGCCTTGCTGCAGGAGTCTTGAGGAGCTACGAGAAGGGCTGGAGAGACATGTGCCCGCCACATTTCTCAGTCCCAGGGTCCAAATCGCTTGTTCCTTAAGGACAGGCCCTGCTTTCTAAACTCTGCTTCCAAGCCTCCTCTTTTGGTAGAAACTAGGGGCCAGCTGAGGTAGGAGCTTGCATTTGTGGGTGTTGGAAGGCAATGCGGTGATTGGCCTGTTTAGCCATAGGTGATCCGCTGTACCCATATGGAATAGAAACCATTTCCCATGGACACGGGCATCATTTTCCAGACAGACACAGCCAGAGAGCACACATGCCTCCTCCTCCAGGATGCCCTCTTTCATGCCCCAGCTGGTCCTCTAGCTCACGTTCTTAGGGCTCTGGCCACTTTCTCCCCTGTCTTAGGAGCTACGTCCCCTGGGCCCTTCGCTTCCACACTGTGCTATGAGCTACCTTTGAGGTAAAGGTGGGAGGTAATTCATCTCTCTCTCCTCCAAAGGGGATATCTGTGGAATAAATGAACAAATTGCTAATACCTGTGACAAGTGTGACAAGCACCATCACTCTGCATGTCTGGTCTGAAAATGCCAGGATCCCTCCCACTGACTTCACTCATTCATCATTCTTTCCTCCACCAAGCTTAGTGAGTGCTAATGCCAGGGACACAGCAATAGGCAAAAGCTGACCCGGCCCTTGTCCTCATGAAGTCATGTCCAGAGGAGGTGGCAAACAGTAATTAAAAGATAATCACACCAGTAACGGTGCAAGCATCAACCAAGACGAGTACTCTGACTGAAAAGGCACATGGTCCTAGGAGGTGAGGGACCCTCTGTCCTGCCTCTGGTGTCGCCACAGTGGGTACTCAGTGAGAACGAGCCAACAAAAAGATTATATGCTCAGAGACAGCTACAAAAATGAATACCAAAATCAGCCCCTGCACAAGGGCAGGTCTGAACGTCCAGGCCTCCGGTGTAAGCTTCCGTAGCTTTTCTCATCGGCACCGTGAAGAGAGGT